TCTGAAATTCCAAAAAGCTGCCTCGAGAGACCAGCCATCACGATGTTAAAAAGTAAAGGTGATAGAAGAGATCCCCGCGAAGTGCCCCTGTTCCCAGCACTTGCACATCCAATTCTAGATCTCCAACTTTAAGTATGGCTTTTCGACCACTCAGGAAGGATCTGACAAACGCATGAAATGAGGAACCTAAGTTGAGAGTAGAGATCACATCCAAAATGGAATCATGACGGACATTATCAAACGCCTTTTCTATATCCAAGCTTAGGATCACTGTGGTGTCTCTGGTATGATTATCTAAAATTCAAGTCTTAATGATTTTCATAGCATCCTCTGTAGATAGGCCTGGCCTAGAGCCAATTAGGTAATGAGGAAAGAGATCAGTGTGCTCTGTGTACATCAGCGGATGATACCGGATGTCGTCAAGGGACGGCTTTCAGCTCTCCCGTAGTACAGTACCAAGTACTGTAAATCGTTCACCACTTTTTCTAAACACAATCCGCCATTCGGTTCTGGATAACATGTCCCGCCACCTTTTCCACGCATGACGTCAGAGAGATGGGGCACAGATTAGCCAAACTTGGTGCTTTACCGGGCTTGGGAATGAGGATCACCATGGCCAACATCCATTGCTTCAGGATGTCACCTATCTTCCGAATTCTATTAATCTTATCAGTGAGAAATTCAACAGAGTCTTCTTCCAAGTTCCGAAGCGCTTTGTTGGTGACCCTATCCGGACCCGGTGCCCATCGGCCATTGAGTTCGTGCAGGGGACGTTGCACATTGTTGATGGTGAAGGGTGCATTCAAATGGGCACAAGGTGTTCCCAAAAACCCTGGATAGACTTGCATGTTGGAATTGGACTGCTAGTGGTAGATACATCTTAGCAAGCTGCCCCAATAGCTCCGCGCCCGGGGAGGATTTTTGGGCAAGATGGAGTATTCTAGTGAGGACCCCCCTCTGATTTTATTTAGTGCTCGACTCGTCAAGCAGGTGTATTAAAAATTCCATTTACCTCTGGTTTGAATTGTTCATCGACTGAGTTACAAGTTTCATAGCACTGCTGCATCGACAAGTTTTGGCAATCTTGTTCAATTTGTGCATTTAACTCCGCGATCTTTTTCCGAAGCTTACGATTAAGCCTATGGCCCTTTCCATTTGGCCAATAGCAACTGTTTTGCCTCCAGTAAATGCGCAAGCTGAACTGTCCATTTTTTCTGTCTGTATCTCTGTCCCAACGGTCCTGGTAACCGCCGTAACGCCCTGCAGCAGCATCTCCATTCATTGCTCCAGAGAGTACAGGATTTCACCCTGTTCCACTCGAGCCCTGCGTGACTCCCAAAACTTATCTCAATCGACGTAAGTGAACTTTCTTTCAGATTTTGCCTCCATCTGCAATTTAGTGACTGTAATATAATGATCACTTCCTAAATCCGTCAGAAGATTTCCCCAACCTACGGAGCCAACATTTTTCACGAAAACTAGGTCTGGGGTGGAGTCCCTGGGGGTGGATAGGCCGCGTCTAGTAGGAAATGCCGCGTCCGTTATTAACGAGAGATCCGCATCTCCCGTCTCCTACAAGCTCCTACCTTTAACAGAATTATACAGGTAGTTACACGCCCGGGAAGACGCGTGAAAATCCCCCGCCACAACCAGAGGGGAGAGCACAGCCAATGCGGCGCCGCAGGTGTGCACACAAAACACCACCGGTGCTGCCTGCCGAAGATGCCATGAGTGTCACGACAAATCCTCATGAAAAAGGGGCCACTTATCGTTTTATTAGCAACACCAGTCACCGGTGACATGATGCTCTCTCTTTGGAACACTTTCGGTCAAGCAATTGATTATGGTTTTCCGTGTATTAGTATGAATTCTTTAAAAGTCATACTGATAATAAATATGCAGTTTTAGATGAAGTTAAAAGCTATCTAGTATACATACAAAATGGGAGAATGCATTTGTCTAACGTTAGGATGAATTAACTGTAAGCATGATTAGTAAAAATTAACTCATTCACTTTGTTGGAAGAAAATTGGCCCCGTGTCTGCATGTTAATCTGCAAATGTCGTCGAAATACGATAGTCTTACGTGTGGACAGAGCGAACAAAACATTTATTTGATGTTCTGCGCAAAAAACTTGGTGACTGGTATTCTGGAGGCGCTGTGCTAGAGTGCCTCGAGCGTGCAGCGGAAGCGAAAGAACACATCAAGTCACGTCACACGCGAGACGTCAGCGCTCTCTGGCAGTTTTAGGGGCGAAGCTCCTTATAGCGGCACCCGTTTGTCCCTCGTAGCCGTTTTAGTAGTGTGTAACAAGTATAACATTTTGACCTCCAAGGTGGTGCTGCTGAAAGATTTCTTCTGGGCGTTGTTGAACAGAAAAGATAGTGCTCAATGTACATGACAATTACTGCTAAGGGAGAGTGAGAGACAGGAGAATTCATCTTTTAGTTAACGTGCACGCTGTGAATTTTTTATTGTTCAACAACGCACAGAAGACAAGAAAGGGTTGCTACGTTGTACTCGTTGAGCGTAACCTCCTAGGTTTTAGAAAGGCTTAGCGAGCACTGGGCCGCAGTGCCATGAATACAGTGCACTAGTTTATACCATGAACTCGAGGTGGTGAAAGGTGGGAAGTAGACACGAAGCGCAAGCCGTAAAAAAAGTGTGCGTGTGCCTCCTCTCGTTTAGTCCTTGGAATGTCCGCTGGATGGCGGTGCTTCTATATGAGAAATATATGATGAGAAGATGCGAGATGGTGGTACATAAAGTGTTGAATAGGTGAATGAACAGACACACAGATAGATGCATGGACGGACGCACAGATGGCTGCACGGACGGATGGACGCATGGACGGACGCAGGAGTGGATGCATGGAGGAAAGCAGGGACGGACGCACAGATGAACGTGCGGACGCACGAACAGACGCACGCGCGGACGGGCGGATGGACGCGTGGGCGGCTACACAGACGCACGCATGGATGGACGGAAGCAAGAACGAATGGATGGACGGATGCTTCGCCCCACTATCCATCATTTACTCCGTGAATATGCTGCCATTTTTTTAAACGAAGCGCGTGGCTCTGAGACGGGTGTGCGTGCCCGTCTCATAGGTGATAAGGCGTAGAACGCAAGGCGATGGGTAGGTGCCACCACCGTCTCGTCTAAGCAAAGCGTTGGAAACACTCGCCTTTTCGTGCAAGCGTTGCATGGTCAGCGCAGCGTGATAAGCGCTACGGTCCTTAGAAATACTTTTGTATGCGAATCCTGCACTATCGCACATTATATATCCTGATATATACAAAACGGACAGGTGCAAGCGTTGCGACTCCAGAGCCACTCTGGAGCATATGTTATGGGAATGTAGAGGGATTAGTACTCATAACAAGTATGCGGCCTCTGCTGACAGCCTTCGCGCGCGCTGGGAGGCCGCAATGCTCAGTTCCATCCTCGAAGACCAAATGTGGGCCGTCCAGCGGGCCGAGGAAGCCGCCAGGATTCAAGGACTCCTGGCCGTAACCTAGGCGGGGCCAATCGCCCACCCCATCTACTCGCCGGACTCTGAATAAAGTTCTTTCCTCCTCCTCCTTTTCTAGTAAAAGACGCACATGCAGAATATATACGTGTTGTTATGGTGGCCCAGACATGCGCAATGATTGCTTATTAATTGGCGATTGCATAAGTATGAACGCTGAATTTTGAGCAACATTCGTAGGCGCTGCAGATGGGCTCCACCATTTCAAGTACACGATGTCGTTAAGAGTGTACACACAGACAAATGCACAGACAGACAGACAGACAGACAGACAGACAGACAGACAGACAGACAGACAGACAGACAGACAGACAGACAGATAGACAGACAGACAGACAGACAGACAGACAGACAGACCAAAGTTTTTGTGTCGAAGGTCCCCAAGAAAGACTATCGTCTTTAAAAGCCACTGGTTTCAGTGCGAGCTGCTGGGACGTTGCGGCAATTGGCAGTGCAGATCTTAATGACGTAGATCTTTTCATGTGGCCTCCAAGATCCTTTCGGTAGTGTGAAGAAACACAAATTTAAACAAAGAACTGCGCCATGACGTACGAATGGTGAGGTGCGATTGCTCCTACTAAGCAGCTTCTCGGAGACGTTGCACTTAAGTCAGAGGCGTAGACAGACACATCTTTGAAAGGTGGGGGGGGGGGGATGTTAAACCTTACTTTATGCGTGTTCATGCGTGCGTTTGTGCGTGTACGTGTACACGTACAGATGACAAATTACCAAATTTCAAAAGTCCCCCCACCCCATACCGATCCCGTGGCTTATACGAGGAACGTAATCGTTGGTTAGGGTCAGGCCTATTCATTGAAAATCTTGTCTGCTCGTGCAAACGACGACGACCCGGGGACGTTTATTGGTAAGTTGCTGCATGGAACGTGATCGCTCACTATCGTTGGTGACGTTCAAGTTACGACACTGACTTTTCTTTTCGAAGATACACTGTGATATCTTTAGAAGTCATTAATGACTTTCTTCCTTTCTCAATTTTTTGGAAGAGGCATTGGCAGCGATTCCAGTATATATAAGTGCCTGTGTTGTTCTAAATGCAATCGTGAGCGTACTGGTCTCACGAGTAACTCATCCTTCGACACACGATAGGTTCTTTCGTCAAACTCATTGAGGGTGTCACGCGGTCGCAAAAAGCCTCTCGGTTATCATGCTTTTTTTTCTTTGTTGTTAACCATCGGGTTTATTGCATAGTGTGACCCTGCCGCAATGTTCTAGTGGTTAAGACATTCGGCTGTTTAACCGCAGGTCGCGCCGGCTGGGCCGCCTGCATTTTTCGTGGAGGCGAAAAAGCTGTAGCTACGCTCGTGTGCTCAGATGTGTGCACGTTCAAGAACACCAGATGATAGAAATGTCCGGAGCCCTCCACTACGGCGTCTCTCATAATCATATTGTGGTTTTGGGACGTTAAACCCACATAATATTACTACTGCGGGGTGTGGATGGCACTCACCTCTTAGCCACCGCAACAGGAAATAGTCGTCGTGACTAGGCCGCAGGATGTCATCGACGTTCGCCCGAAGCTGGAAAGAGCGAAGAATAAATAACTAAGAAGAGAATATAGAGGCCAGTGGAGCAAGCTTTAAGTCATGAAACTCTACCGGTGAAAGAAAAAACCAGGCTGAATCAGCAGCTTTACTTTATTAATGGTCTTTCGAGAGAGCACTCTATAACTATAGGGAAGTAGGTGGCCAGTGCGACACACACACATAATATATATATATATATATATATATATATATATATATATATATATTATGTGTGTGTATCGCACTGGCCACCTACTTCCCTATAGTTATAGAGTGTTCTCTGGAAAAATACCATTAATAAGGTAAGGAATCAGCAGCCTTATATTATTAAAGGCATTTCCAGAGAACACTGTTGCCGCACTTCACCCTATAATGACGTCATTAAGGTCTAGGATAGGCTTCCTGCGATCATTTTCTTAGATATTATTCTTCAGGTAGTAATAAAGAGTGACGGGCGAGAGAGCGTGCTCAAAGGCTGTGGCTGTAAGTCTCTAACTGTAAATGTCGAAGGTGAACCGCCACTCGAGACTCTTTTGTCGTCCTGACCACGGAAACGAGTAAAGGCGGGCAATGCAGGGAAGGCCTAGCGAGCCATATTTGTAGACGCGTGCCAGCCATGCCCCCCGAGACGTCTCATTCGCCGAGACAGGAGGACAAAGCAATATAATCTTCTCGGGTATACGAAGGAATCTCGGCAGACGGCCATTCTTCTTCATCGTCTTCTATATAAATACGCGCCGCGCCCACTTGATAGGGGGAAGGCAGCAACTGTCAGCGCCGGCGAACAATCTCTTATCTCTCTGACGGCAACCGCATTCCTCACTGAGCTCGGTAGATGAGCGACACGGTTTAAAAAAATGGTAAAGGCGCAAATAAAAAGCTCGGGACGGTATATCTAAACCAACTGCGGCGCCTCAGATTCTGTGTCGTGTCAGGGCGACACTTGCTCCACTTTTCTCTTTCTCCCGCAAAGAAGTCTAAAGCTGAAACACGCTCAACTCTCGTTCATTATACTCGCACATTCTTGTGGTATAGAGTGTCGCTGTAAGGTTGTGATTTGTCCCTGTTGGTTTGACATTAAAGTGCATAAAGTTGCGCGACTGAGGCATAGAGACACACGAAGAGACACGATTAGACACACGAACCGCAGACTTACAACGAAGTGTCTCTCTTCTTCGGTCACTGACTCAGCAGCGCACTTCCACGCGTTCGAAATGCAGTAATTTAGGTGCGCGATGCCAGGCACATGAATTAAGCTGATTCCGTACTGAAATAGACTTTCGAGAGGAGATTTTTGTCAAGGACGATGGTAGAGCGCGACCAAAAGTGTGCCTGGCGTTCACTTAGCACGGTGGAGCAGAGTTACGTCGAAAACGGTTATTCGTAGAAAGGCAGTATAACAGCGCACTTCCTTCATATTATATACCTAGATGCAGGTATCGTCTTTTGCTCAATATGGGAGTTTGATATAAACGGCGAGATCTGTAACGAAAAGTGCGATTTTCGCAATGCCGCTAAATCTGAAATATTCGTAGGCGTGAAATATATATATAATGAAGATTAGACCCAGAACTATTTTACCAAACTGGGGAACATCGGACACGACCACTGAAGCGATTGAAGGGCCTATAACACTTTACTGTGAATGCTGCCGTGTTAATGGTAATACGATATATCGTTGAATCTGTAGAAACTTGATAACATGCCTTTGTGTTTCGCAATGGTGACACGCCTAGCGCCAGAAATGCCAAACATTGAGGACTTGTATGACAAAGGCTAAACATTGAGGTCTTTGCCATACAAGTAGTCAATGTGAGGAGAAAGGTCGGCAAAGCATTTTCGTCTCCCGAATATAAATGCAGTTTCGTCTCTTGAATAAGCTCACCACTTACACTTTATACATATATTTTTTTTTCGCGAGAGAGATTCGAACAGTAAGAGCACATCTTCTAGCCAGTATGCTGGAGGTAACTGAAAATGCACGCTGATTAAAATAAGCGGCCTTATATTTGAAATGTCCGCGCCACAAAAGCACAGAAGACGAAGATCGTCTCGTAGGCTAATGGTACCATGTTTTTTTCTTTTTTTTGTCTCCCCACACTCCCCTATGAAATGTGCACTCGGATAAACCGCGCGAAAGGAAGCTCAGTCGTCACACTCATACAAACGTTGTGAATTATAGTGCTCTTTTCACGCCACGGTTTGCACCATGACGCTCAAGTCCCCCATGACTTGGTGCGCTCAAGAAATTCAGGAGACATGGTGCGATTATGTTGCCTTTGGAAAAAGATGAACACGCGTTATTGATGGGTTTGATGATGGTGAGTTTTCAAGTCAATGTGTAGTTTGTGAGAACTACTACAACAAGAACAACAAAACAACACAGTAAGTTAATCAGGGCCCAACGCGCGTCTCTATGGCAGTGCGCACACCAAGTTAGCTGCGCACTTAGTTTACGGCATGACTGATGATCATAGTTTATTATGGCGGAGCGTTTTGTAATGAGCGGGCAGCTTTGAACTAACCAGTCGCAGTGAAACTAATGAGTTTGTCACGTGGTGAGACTCTGCGCTTTTACCACGCGATTTAAAGTCTGTAAGCGTGCCTGCATGCCTGTATAGCAAAACTGCGACTCGAACTGATTGGAACATATTCAAAAATTTGCGCAAGCACAAGGGAATAAAGATGAGACACACAAATGGGCACAGTCTAACAATTCGTTTATTTTTTTGAAAAGGTTCTCTCAAAAACCGTCAGATCTGCTCTGTCTGGTCTAGAGAACATTAAAACAGCGCACATGACACAACTTGTGATCACAAGCTCAATGACAGAAAACAAGAGCTAAATTTCCTTCTTACGCAAGGCAACCCGTTTCCTGAGGCTATGGCCCCGTGTTCCAGCGCGAATACTTCAACACGCCTGTATAAAATGCTTTTCAAAGCACTTTAATGAACCTGCGTTGCTCTGGGGTAGAATACCTGACTGTCAAGGGAGAATCCTCCGTTCGATTCGAGCATTAATCATCAAGTTTAGTATTACTTGTATCCAGTGGAATCTTTCGCACACAGAAGATGCCGCCGACGCCGACATTTCATTTTCAGTGACACAGCCCTACTAAACAACTTTTACGTATACGTAAAGACAAGTATTCCTGATGGCCACAGTGTTCAGCAAAATTTTATTATTGGTACGGTTACATTCGTTAGGTTTTGTGGCGTATTACTTCGAAGCGTGCGTTATACATGCCATATGAGACTCACAGCCTTATGTACACTATAACACACACACACAAACACACACGCAGATACATACAAACATAAATAAATAAATAAATGATTATATATATATATATATATATATATATATATATATATATATATATATATATATATATATATATATATATATATATATGCCGCGGTGGTCTAGTGGCTAAGGTACTCGGCTGCTGACCCGCAGGGCGCGGGTTTGAATCCCGGCTGCGGCGGCTGCATTTTCGATGGAGGCGGAAATGTTGTATGCCCGTGTGCTCAGATTTGGGTGCACGTTAAAAACCCCAGGTGGTCTAAATTTCCGGAGCCCTCCACTACGGCGTCTCTCAAAATCATATAGTGGTTTCGGGACGTTAAACCCCACATATCAATCAAATCATATATATATATATATATATATATATATATATATATATATATATATATATATATATATATATATATATATATATAATAACTGTTTAGTGAGTGTTCTACTTGTTACGTATAGACGTATATTATTTTTTTAAAGAGACACGGTAGCTTTCGTTTGGGTCCTGCTACTCTCTAGAAAAGATCGTAATTACCTCTGAAGAGAGTTCACGAGTGCCTTTAAGGAGAGTTGTTATGTGACAATTCAGGAACCAGAAAAGGGTCAAAGAACTTTTTTTTTCCCTTGAAGTGTACACAAACTTTCGTTTATGGCAGCGATCAACCTTCTTTCCCGTTGGATTTATAGTTCATGCCCCAAACGGAATAGTACAAAACGATAAACATAGACTCCTATTTAGTCCCCAAGCAAAATCGAAACAGACAATAAATGCTCCGACGCCAGCCTGCCAGGAGCAGATATCTGCACGTACAGACAGAGCCGCGTTGTGAAAAGTGGGGAAAGCGATCTTTCGCTAAGAGAAAAGGCGACATGATCCTTATTCATGCAATAACACTGTCCGGTCGAGTTTCACTGACACATCGGAAGGTCGCGAATGCTCAGTGTTGTCTACTCGGAAAGGAAAGAAAAAAGGAAGAAAAGATTGACCTTGCGTTTTTCTTTGTAGTGGTTCATTTAATTTCGGGAGAGTGGTTCATTTAATTCCGGGAGCAGACAGAGCTTCACTGCCAGCTATCATATATATACTTAATGGATGGTGACGCTGAGCTTCACTCGGTTTTCTCTATGAAAGCTGGTCTAAACTATTTTTGGTATCCCCGAGCGACATACAAATTAGTGGTTTCGTAACTGTCAACGGGCCGTCCGTCTCGCAATGCCAGATCTGTTGACGTAAGTGTGTGCGTGGGTAGCTTCGGTATGACGCAGATATATTCGAGGGAAATAGAAGGCTCTGGTTCTGCCGAGTTCCATGACGACAGTGGCGTCTGTAGGCTGGCTTTTCAGAAAAGAAAAATTGACAAGCAGACGTTAGGGGACTTATGTGTTCTAGAAAAAGCTCGGTTTTGTGAGACGACTCGACGGGTCGTAAATGGCCCTTGGCGTGCATGGAGGATGATGTCGCTTTCCGGCAAGGCTGGCAGTGAGAGTTTTTTGGGGCTAATTAAGGATACCCTAAACAGGAAGGGAGAACAGCACAGATGCTCAGAGGTGAAATAGACTTTTGAATGACAATTGAGAATCAGAGAAAGAAGTTCGTTGAGGATTCCAGTGTTCATATGTATAGCGTGCCCATACCATGCGTATACAGTCCGATATCAGGCAGGCGGGCAGATGCATGAATGTGCGTTTGC